TATATATATATATATATATATATATATAATTAAATAAAATATTATTGCTTACATTTAAGATGTATTTATTTGAACTGCATATAAAGTTTCCAGCACATAAAATTTTTTATAAATCTGTTTTTAGGAGCAATAAAACATTATCTTCAAATGCCCTCAAATTCTAATAAAATAAATAAAAATTAATAAGTATAATAAGCATTACTTATAATACTTATTACTTATAATTTAATGCTACAATTATAATTAATGCATTTATCATTAATAAAATGGAAAAATAATACATAAAAAATAAATATTAAATAAAATATTAATACCTAAATTTAAGATTTATTTAAAATGCAAATAAAGTTTCCATCCACGGTTTTAAACTAATAATTAATGTGATGCATATTTAATGCCAGTCATACATTAATGAAACAAATCAGATTTCCACCATTAAATAAATAAATAAATAAAATTGTCATATTTTCTCCTTAACTATTTGCACCTATTTGGTTTTATTTAAATGGTCATATTCTCAGAATGCACTCATTCAGATTGATTAGAATCAGCATGCATGTGTTCATACTGAAAACAACTACATTTCTTCAGCTAAGAAAGTATGAACATGGTTAAAATGCTTAGCTGCAACATGCAATATGTAATTAGTTTATTAGCATCATAATGCATTTGAGTAACAGAAGCAAAGCCTCACCACTTGCAGCAGCGAGAGGTACCCGGCGCCCACGTTGTCGAAGTTGACCTTGACTTTGGACCAGTAGTACTGCGTGCTGTTCATCTCCAAGCACTCGCTCTTGTTGTTGATGAAGGAGGCGTTGAAGATGAAGCCGGTGCGGTTGACGCAGCGGCCGAACTTCCCGGCGAACAGGTTGACTCCCATGATGCTGAAGATCAGCCAGAAGATCAGACACACCAGCAGCACGTTCATGATGGACGGGATCGCGCCGATCAGAGCGTTCACCACCACCTGGTTACCGTGGAAACACAGCATCCTCAGATCAGCCGCTCTGTCCGGCGGGATTTACGGCTTTTATGCTCTCGCGTCAGCGATCTAAAACTCCCGATAACGCACACCGAGTGTCAAAGCACTTTAATAGCCATTCATAAAACATGAGCATTATTAAAAGCTGAACTCTACTGGATCAAATGCATCAGAGAAGTGCGGATTTTAACAGTAAACCTCACAAAAGCGGTCAAGAACATGCCTAGGTCACGCCAAAATCTAATCAATGTGCATTAAAAATAAAATGCATAAATCTGTTTTTATGAGCAATGCATATATAAAGGCATTGATATTTTTCCAATATATAATATATAGATTTTCACTAATAATAATATTTATTAATATATATACAGTACATGCACAGTCACACACATATATGTGTGTGTGTGTGTGTGTATTAAAATCTATAAATAGAGAGATTATTTATTTATTTAATAATATATAGAAAAATATTAATGCCTACATTATTTTCCATCCATTTGAATTCCACAGTTTTAACAAATTAATAATATAATGTGATTCATATTTGTCAGTCAAACATAAATGAAACAGGCCAGATTTCTGCACTAACTAACTAAATACATACATAAATAAAAAATAAGGTATAATTTATTATTAACTATTTGCATCTATTTGATTTTATTTAAATAATCATTATTTATTCCATGTTTAATTTAATTATTTAATTAATTAGGTAAAAAAATATGCACATATGCAATCACATTACGTTTATTAATTTGTTTATGCTAAAAATGTGTAATCAAATAAATAAATCTTAAATTTAGGCATGACTATCTTTCTATTTGTTATTTTTGTATTATTAAAAAAAAGGATATAAAATAAAAACAATTCTAAATGTCTTAAAATAGGCTTCAATTTCTGTATGTTAATAATATATGTATAATTTAATATAATAAATATTTTTTAACTTATATAAATGTATCTATAATAAATAATTGTATTTATTTTTTGGTGGGGCTGAAATGGACCGTCCTTGACACACTTCATCTGATTCACCAATAAATACATTTGTTAAATATCACATGCTGCTCATGCTTTGTGAATATGCGTGTGAAATAAAGCATGGCATAATCAGGAATCACGTCTGATCGTGAGCGTGCCGGCTGTATTGAGAGGACGGGAAAGTGCTGAGCGGGTTTAGATGGCGTCTGTGTGAGACAGCACTTTCTGAAGCGGCGTGACGTCTAATCTGATTTGCCAGATTTCTCATTGGCTTTCAGTGAGCGTGCAAACTTCAGTCCGGACAGAACTGCAGACGCATTACAGAAACACAACACTATATCAGCATTAATGCACTTCAGCTTGTTTCTTTAATCCATTTCAAATCAAACTTGATTTCTTAAATGGTTAAGGCAAGACACTACAGGCAGAAATATTGCCTTTCATGATTTTCATAAAGTGTTGTTTCAGACTCGTGAAAGAAAACATCTCAAATATACTTTTAAGTTTATTTTATGATTTGTTTTTTAGTAGTTGTTTTAGACTAGTGGAAAGAAAACATCCAAAATAGACTTTTTAGTTTATTTAATTATTATTTTTAGTTATAGTTTGTTACATAGTTATTATAGTTATCTAAAACTGAGACCATAAAACAATTTTTGTTACTTGAAATAAAATACATTTTAACTGAGATAAAATAAAACTAGTTGCCAAAGAGGCATTTTTCATTTTAATTTAGTTCAATTTGATTCAATAAAAATGTAAACTAAAACTAAAATGATAATAATACATCAATGCATTAGAGAAGTGCATGTTTATAAAAAAATATAAATATGCATATATATAATATGTATATTATATAATTATAAAAATTCAATTTAAGACATTAAAAAAAAATGACAAAAACACAACAAAAATTCAAATGAAAACAGCAAATATAAAAATAAAAATTAATTCAAAATCTTATTAAAATTATAATAATATATCAATGCATCAGAGAAGTGCATGTTTATAAAAAAATATAAATATGCATATATATAATATGTATATTATATAATTATAAAAATTCAATTTAAGACATTAAAAAAAAATGACAAAAACACAACAAAAATTCAAATGAAAACAGCAAATATAAAAATAAAAATTAATTCAAAATCTTATTAAAATTATAATAATATATCAATGCATCAGAGAAGTGCATATTTAAATTAAAAATATAAATATGCATATACAATATGTATATTATATAATTATAAAAATAATATTTCAGACAAAAACACAACAAAATTACTAAATGTAAATTAAAATAGAAAATGAAAAAAATAAATAAAACATATTCTTAAAAATTATAATAATATATATAATGATACTAATATAACCCAGATACAAATTTAACAGATTTACTTCTATATTCTGGTGTTATCCAATCTTCAGATTAATGTTCTGGAAATTAGTGCAGATTTTATTAAATAATGCCTCATTTGGATATTTAAACATACTATTTTTTTAGAAAACAAAATATATCAGTGATTCTTAATGTACTCAATCAGATGAGGAAGTATAGTGAAATCTATTAGTTTAATGTTTTATATTCAGTCTTGCCTTAAATCTCAAATGGCTGAAATATCACTGTATAACTAATATTATTAATATGTGACCCTGGAGCACAAAACCAGTCATAAGCGTCAGTTTTTCGAAATTGAGATGTATGCATCATCTGAAAGCTGAATAAATAGCTTTCCATTGATTGTTAGGATCGGACAATATTTGAAAATCTGGAATCTGAGGGTGCAAAAAAATCTAAATATTGAGAAAATCATCTTTAAAGTTGTTCAAATGAAGTTCTTAGCAATGCATATGACTAATCAAACATTAAGTTTTGATATATTTACGGTAGGACATTTACTAAATATCTTCATGGAACATGATCTTTACTTAATATCCTAATGATTTTTGGCATAAAAGAGAAATGTATAATTTTGAGCCATACAATGTATTGTTGGCTATTGCTACAAATATCCCCCAGCGACTTAACACTGCTTTTGTGCTCCAGGGACACAGATGTGAACGTGGTGCTGCCTGGTGTGTGAGGATGAGGAGGAGATGAAGATAACACTGAGTTTGTGAGACATTCAATTATCCAGAATACTGATGGTGTTTCCCAGCGGACAGAAAGCAGCTTCATCATTCATTCAGACTGTGTAATAATCTACCGCAAGCACAAACACTACTGTACACACACACCACGCTAACGGCCTGTAATACTGACAGCAAATCAAACACAATCATACATGCAACTGCAGGAAAGGGAAGATAACACTGGACAATTAACACTGAAGTCCTCCTTCTGTATGTCTATTTCAGTTTTTGATTTGATGCAAATGATCATCTACTTATATTTACTTTTATCTTTTATTTTATTCATTTTAATATTATCCTTCAGTGAGAAATCGCCTCAAAATGTCACTGTACTTTGTACTATTTAAATTATAATTTTTTATTCAGTTAAATAATTTATTCTTATGTTTATTTTATTATTTTTAATATAATCCATAAGTGAAAAATCTACTCAAAATGTGACTGTATTATGTAATATTTAATTATAATAAATGTATATGTAATTATATATATATATATATATATATATATATATATAATTTGTATTTATTATTTAATTATTTTTTAATATTATCCATATTAGTGAAACATCCATTTAAAATATCACTCTATTATGTAATGTTTTAATCATAATAATTTTTAAATTATATATTTCAATCTTATATTTATTTTATTATTTGTAATATTATATATTAGTGAAAAATCGACTCAAAATGTCACTGTATCATGTGATATTTTAATCAAAATAAATGTCAACTGAATCAAATATTTTATTCTCATAAATATTTTAATATAATCTATCAGTGAAAATCACTATTAATTATCATAAATGTATAGATATTTTATATATTGTATTCTTATATCTATTTTATTAATTTTAGTATGTCCCAAAATGTCACTGTATTATGTAATATTTTACTTACAATAAATGTATATATAGTTATATGCTTTATTCATAATTTAATTCAAATCCACTCAAAATGTCACTGCATTAATTTTGTTTATATTTTATGAGTTATTTGACTAAATAGTCCCATAGTTGCATCGCCTAATACTGGAAAGTCTTTCCCGTTTGCGCTGTAAAGCCTCCAGAAATAAATGAGACGTCACCTTTCAGAATCAGACATGCATGAAGATTAAACGGATCAGACTTGATTAAACAGAAGTGCGGTGAGAATATGAGAGATTAAAACACGCGCTAATGCTGTAATAACACGGCACAGAGGGACAGCGTTTAGCAGTGTGTTTACTGCCGGATCGATGGAGAGAAAGAAATCAACACAAACAAAAACATGAGTTTACTCTGCTGGCGTCAATCTGATGAAAACATCTCATTTCACACTAAAAATCAAAAAATGATCAATTATATTGTTTAATGTAAATTAAGTTTTTTAAATGGACCATTATGATTTGTTGTTGCATTATTATTTAAATGACTTAACTAATACATGATTAAACATGTTTCCCCCAAATTTTAATTTTATATATTTGTAATTCGCATTAATGTAAAAACGCATTAATATCAGCATAAATTAAAGGCAGTACAACAAACTATATATAAAAAATATTATTTTTAACCATTACTCTCATAAGAATTTGGGTTAAAAAATCTTAATTTCTCTCAAAAACAGCTTAATATTTTGAGTTTGGGCTGTAATGTCAACATAATTTCAGACCACTGATATTTTCTTTCTATCCCATTAATGAGATTTTAATAAACTATTCAAGAAATCTAACAGCAGATTAAACGACTGTAACCCTGTTTAAGCCAGCCTAAGGTGGTTAGGTGGTCTGGTTTGATGGTTTTAGAGGGGTTTTGGATGCTTGTTAACAGGGCGAGACCATCTTAAACCTACTAAACTCTTAAAAATAAAGATTCTTTATTGGCTTCTATTGGTTTCATGAAGAACCTTTAACATCCATGGAACCTTTCAATCGCACAGAAGGTTCTTTATAGTGGAAAAATGTTCTTTAGATTATTAAAATGTTCTTCATACCAAGAAAACAATGTTTTTTTTCGCTGCACACAAAAAAAATATATTTGAAGAACCAATTTTGATTGCCCAAAGAGCCATTCAGTGAAAAGTTCTTTAAAGAACCATCTTTTCTTAGTGTGAAGAACTTTTTAATAATCTAAAGAACCTTTTCCACTACAAAGAACCTTTTGTGCATTTGAAAGGCTCCATTGATGCTAAAGGTTCTTCATGGAACCATAAACCAAAATAAAGGTTCTCTACTGCCTTCTATTGGTTCCATGAAGAACCTTTAACATCCATTTAACCTTTCCAGGTTCTTTATAGTGGAAAAATGTTCTTTAGATAATTAAATGTTCTTCACACCAAGAAAACAATGGTTCTACTAACGGTTCTTTGGGGAACCAAAAATGGTTCTTCACTCTTAAAAATAATGTTTCCAAAACGGGGTTCTTGCAATGAGGCCGTAGAAGAACCACTTTTGGTTCCTCAAAGAACCTTTCAGTGATCCGTTCTTCTTTCTTGGTCTGAAGAACTTTTTAATGATCTAAAGAAACTTTTGTGCAATGAAAAGTTTTAATGGATGTTAAAGGTTCTTCATTAGAACCATCAATGCCAATACACTCCTAAAAATAAAGGTTCTTTATTGGCATTGATGGTTCCATGAAGAACCTTTAACATCCATTTAATCTTTCCATTACAGAAAAGGTTCTTTATAGTGGAAAAAAGGTTCTTTAGATTATGAAATGTTCTTCACTTTAAGAAAACAATGCTTCTTATAAGAACTGATCACTCAAAGGCTCATTGGCGAACCAAAAATGGTTCTTCTATGGAACAGCTACAGGACCCCCTTCTGAAACTTTTATTTTTAAGAGTGAGTTCTTAAAAGAACCATATTTTCTTAGTGTGAAGAACATTTTGATAATCTATAGAACCTGTTTCCACTATAAATAACCTTTTGTGCAATGAAACGTTTCCATGGATGTTAAATGTTCTTCATTAGAACCACCAATGCCAATACACTCCTAAAAATAAAGGTTCTTTAATGGCATTGATGGGTCCATGAAGAACCTTAGACATACATTGAATCTTTCCAGGTTCTTTATAGTGAAAAAGGGTTCTTTAGATCATTAAGGTGTCTTTCACAAAAATAAAATAATGGTTATTTTTAAAAGGCTCATTGGCGAACCAAAAATGGTTCTTCTACGGAACAGCTACAGAACCCCCCTTCTGAAATTTATTTTTAAGAGTGAGTTCTTAAAATAACCATCTTTTCTTAGTGTGAAGAACATTTTGATAATCTATAGAACCTGTTTCCACTATAAAGAACCTTTTGTGCATTTGAAAGGCTCAATGGATGTTAAAGGTTCTTCATGGAACCATCAATTTCAGGACAAATAAAGGCTCTCGATTGGCTTCTATTGGTTCCATGAAGAACCTTTAACATGCATTGAACCTTTCCAGGTTCTTTATAATGGAAAAAAGTTATTTAGATCATTAAATGGTGTTCTTCACACCAAGAAAACAATGGTTCTTTCAAGAATTGATCACTAAAGGTTCTTTGGGTAACCAAAAATGTTTTTTCTACGGCATCAATGTAAAACCCCCTTTTGGAAGCTTTATTTTTAAAAGTGTGGAAACTTTCCATTCAACAAAAGTTCTTTATAGTGGAAAAAGGTTTAAAACGTTCTGCTTCTTTCACTGAAAAGTTCTTTGGGGAACCAAAAATGGCTTTTCTAAGTAAAAACCCTTTTAAGAGCATACGACCATAAAACCACCACAGGCTGGTTTAAGAAGAAGTTTCTAATGACCGATATTTCTCTCCTCGGAAAATACGGAGCCTTCCTGTTTCTGTTCATAAAAATGAGCGAAATTGCCTGAGAACCTGTAGCATTAACAGATGTGACAGAGAGACGAGTGTATCTTACCCTCATGCCGTCAAACCGGGACAGCGCTCTCAGTGGCCTGAGGGCTCTGAGCGTTCTGAGAGATTTGATGGCAGCAAAGTCCGAGTAGCCTAGCGTGTTTGCTACAAGGCTTACGAGAGACACCTGAGTGACAGAGAGCCGAGGAGAAAGAGAAGATAGAAATGCAGCGTTAGGACCGCAATTACATCACACCCGCTGCAGTCCTGCGGAAGGAAACGAGGCGTCAGACTGCGGCGCTAGGAGGAAAATCGGGGGTTAGTTGTCACAGAAACCCGGTTCCGGCGAACTGTTAAGGAGAAATGCTGTTTTAAGCACCATTGGTGGTTGTTTCATCCCTCCTCTGTGACCTGTGAAGGACTGAATGGGGGTTTAGAGGGCAGCTGTCTATTGAGTCTACTCAGATGGTGCCATCGGCGCCGGGCCCCGGGCCCCAGTCAGAGCGGCTCTTACCCTCATCCCAGCAAAGCGAGACACGGCGCGGAGAGGCCGCAGCGCCCGGAGCGTCCGCAGAACCCGCATGGAGCCAATCTGATCATAATTGACCACACGTGCCACCAGACCAATCACTGACACCTGCATGAAGCGAATTATAGCTCGTTTAGTTTCCATGAGTTTCGCATGAAGTTCATATTTTCCATATTAATCAACTGGGATTGTTGTGTTCACGTTCCAATCAGTCTTTAGAAATAGAAAAAAGTAAATGCATTTAGTAGCTTTAAAAGTACTTGATCTTATCCATCATAAATATTAAAATCTCATAATTTTATTCATATTAATCAAATTGGATTGTTTTGTCCATGTTCTAGTCAATCTTTAGAAATCCAAAAACTATTTCAATGCAAAAGTAAATGCATTTCATATGCATTAAACAATTTTAAAAGTACTTGACGTAATTTATCATAATATTTTATTATATACATATACACACACATACATATATATATATATATATATATATATATATATATAAAATGTTTTTCTAAGTTTACGGAGTATTTTATTTGTATTTTTTACAAGAAATAACTATTTCAGTTTCTACATCATAACTTCATGTTTAATTCAGTGTGTTGCCTTTTCTTTGTGATTATGAAATTTACTAGCAATTTCTAAGTGAAAATTGTTTTAAAGTAAATCCTACAGCAATTTTTTTTTCAGAGTAGGTTCTTATTGTATCAGAATCAAACCAAATATGTGCACAAATACGAACTTATGTACACATACCTACACATACTGAAATAAAGGGCCAACACAAACAGCACTGTATCACTGGACTGAATCTGCAGCTCAAACAACAGCAAACATGATAATAATTATAAATGATCACCTTTTAATGTTACTGATGAAGAGCTGGAAAGCTGAACTACAGCTGATTTGATTATTATACAATACAAAAGTTGCTCTCTGTAAACCCGAGCTCATTCAATCTTCCCGAGATTTTAAATGTTTTATAATAAAGCACTTCTGCTGTTATTCATTTGCTGCACTTTGCAATCAGATGCTGGGGAAATAAATTGATGCACTTACAGCCACAATGAGAAAGTCCAGCCAGCACCAGTAGTTGGTGAAGTATTTCCTGAAACCGTAGGCGATCCACTTCAGACTCATTTCCAAGATGAAGATGTAGGTGAAGATCTTGTCTGCGTATTCAAGCACCACTTTGACCACTTTCCTTTGTTCAATGTAAATGTCTTCAAATGCCTTTCAACAGAGAGACGCAGAAGCAGCAGTGTGTTAACAAACCAGACGTACAGAACAAGCTGAGGAAGACTTCTGAAGACCTTCAGCGCTTCATTCGCTCATCTGTGTCACATTCATGTTATATTAACACATTGGACAGTGAACTGAATGAGGACGGATTGGGAAAATCTACTGAAATATGACAGAAAAGCAGCACGAACGTTTTATTAAAGGGATGTTTAGATTAATGACATTATAATATTATAAAGAAAGCAAGTAATTTGTGTTTAGACTATTGCTATTTTAGTATCACTGAGATACTGTTATCAGGGTTAACTAAAACTAAAACCAATAAAATAAAATTAAAAAAATGAATAAAAAGTTAATTCAACTACAATAAACATGGTTGGCAATGCAATGCAATAAAATGAAATGAAATGAAATTAAAACAAAAAATAAACTTATTTTGTTTTAGTTAATTGCCAAAGCAACATTTTAATTTAGTTTAACTTGATGTACTAAAATAACTAAAAAATTTAAAAATTAAATAAAAAATACTAAAAAAATATAGACATTTAAAAAAAAAAGAATTTTAATAAAAATAAATTAATAAATAAAAAAAATGACAAAACCGTTAAAATAATTACTAAAACTTTAACTACATTTAAATGTTGATTATTATTTCAATTTTAGTTTTAGTTATTTAAGTACATTATGTATAACTAAATCAAAATGAGAAATGTTGCATCAGAAAATTATATCGTATTTTTAATTTTATTTCAATAAACATTTATTTATTTAAAGTAATGAAGGAATGAAAATGTTGTTTTATGTTGGTTAACTATAATAACCCTTGTTTCGGTCATTGTTATTTTAGTACAGTATAACTGAGATACTATTATATTTGTATTCATATTTTAAATTTGCTTTTATTTTGATATCTTCCGTTTTTATTTTAATTCTAGTTAAAGTTTTAGTAATGTAGTTGTCGGTTTTTTTTGCCATTTTTACTAGTTTTTTAAAATGTTTTAAATATTTAATTTTTTAATATTTTATTTCAGTTAACATTTATTTATCTAAAGTAACATTTTTATGGTTTTATGGTTTTAATTTCAGTTAACTATAATAACCCTGGTGTTATTTTGGTACATTATAATTGAATATATTTGAATATAATTGAAATACTATTATAGCTTGTATTCATATTTTGAATTTATTTTAATTTTAACATTTTAACTATAGTTTTAGTAGTTTTAGCTCCTTTCTTTTGCCATTTTACTAGTCTTTTTAATATGACTATGTAGAGTTTTTATTAATTTGAGTCTAGTTAAACTAAATGAAAATGAGAAATGTTGCCTTGGCAACTAGCTGAAATAAAATAAGTAACATTTTTTAATTGTTAATTTTATTGCAGTTGTTTTTTATGTTAGTAACCCTGGTTTGGACCACTATTAGGATGAGTAAATGATGAATTTTCATTCTTGGATGATCTATTTCCTCTTTATTAAGCATCCAGACTGTTTGTCTGAGCGGTTCTACTCTACTGCACATACATGCACCGATGTCCAGCCGAACATCTGCGTCCACCGGACTCGCCGCTGCTTTTTGCAGACTGTGCTGTTTCTCATTTTCTGCTTACTTTCTGTTTTCATGTGTAATCATTCAAGTGCACGTCTGAAAGAACAGCTGCCTGCTGAAGCTGCTGGCAAATGCCACTAAAATACCAGCCGGTCTGCGCACACCTGGCACCCGGCTGTAAGACAGAGCTCTGACATTAGCCCCTCTCTGTGAGTCACACACGCAGGACTCTGATCTTTAAGAAAGAAGTGCACAGTCTTATATAATATTATGCAGCGAGAATATATTTTTCGCTCTGGCATTTACTGTTTTCTGTGTCATGCATAATCTCACAAAGCCAGAACTGGTAATGCACAGAGTCAACACGAAACCAACTGACGTCTTCCTGGTGTTATTGTGTATGATTCATCGGTGCATGTTATTATAAATGAAAACAAACATTTGTCTTTGTAATATTTTATCCTAGAGACACTCTTCACTACCTAATCGATTGCTAATATATAAAAGGTCATGCTTTATAGTTTTATGTCAAGTTGCGGTAAAGATTACAAGTAAAAGGGATTATGAAAGTCTTTCATGTTGAGTTTAACATGATAACCTTCATTGATGCATTAAAATACTATATAATGCTTAATATTAGTAAATTTAAACATATGCACACTAAGATTCAGAAGTCTCTTCTGCTCATCAGGGCTGCATTTATTTGATCAAAAAAACTGTAAAAATGTGAACTATTATTATAATTTGTGTATAACTATGTGAATATCTATTAAAATGTAATTTATTCCTGTGATCAAAGCTGTATTTTCAGCATCATTCCTCCAGTCTTCAGTGTCACATGATCTTCAGAAATCAGTATAATATGCTGATTTGCTGCTCAAGAAACATTTCTGATTATTATCAATGTTGAAAACAGTCGTGCTGCACAATATTTTTGTGGAAACCGTGATGCATTTAATGTATCAGGATTCACAGATGAATAGAAAGTTCAAAAGAACAGCATTTATCTGAAAAATAAACTTTTTTGTAACATTATAAATGTATTCACTGGCACTTTTGATCAATTTAATGCGTCCTTGGTGCATAAAAGTATTATTTTCTTAAAAAAACAAAAACATCAATCTAATTTACAAATAAATATGAAACTACTCGAATGCACATTATGATCCAATTCAATCAAAAAAATTTCAGTGATGCATTAATGAAAGTTACTTACCATGAAGTGTAAAGAGGAATAACTGCTTTAAAAAGCAATAAAACACATTTCTGCCTTATTTAACTTGATAAACCCTAAAAAACTCAAAAATCTCTGGCAACAAATACTAACAGCGGCTGTATGAAAGGATGAGTAAAGCTGCGTCCCAAATGACGCACTATGCACTCATACACTATGTACCTATGCACTATGTACTCAATCATGTAGTGTATGAAAAATATAAGGTTATTTTGTCATTCATAATCGGAGTCTCATAGCTCCTCCCCCTTCGGTACGTAATTAAAGCTGCGACAGTTGAGTGCATGAAGTGTCCAACATTCCACACTTAATTTTTTCGGTTATTTAAGTGCATCATCCGGGTATTTAAAGTGCACTTTTTCTTTTTGGAATTTTCAGTGTGAACGCACTACTCGCACTATTTATATACTACAACACGTCATAGAATAGTGCACAAGTACGCAATTTGAGACGCACCTTAAGACTGATTATTTCACAACACGGCTAACAGTCTGTGGCACGTGTTGATGTAGATTAGTGTCATCTGACATCTGCACATTTGCTGGCGTCTGACAGCTCTCTCATGGAGACGCAAGTTTTAGACTGAGGTTGACCAGTCAGCACAGGCCACAGGCCAGCTAGCAGGAAGTGAGCTGCCACTTCCTGCCAAACACACACCGATAGAGACAGCTTCTGTGCTCGGTGTGAAGTCAAAGCTGTCATAAGGTCAGTGAAGCAAAGTGAGACTCGAGTAAGACATCTTTACTGAGACAGTACAGGCAAAAACATTGCTTTGTCATGCACTGCTCAAGATTGAGATTTTGCTTCCAAAACAAGAATAAGAAAATAAAAAAATTATTTAAATAATTTAAAAAAGGCCTCTAACACTAGCTTGCTCTATTCTTTTTCAATTCTATCTGTTTTCTTTCTATTTATTATATGTTTAAAAAAAACCTTGCTACATGTACTGCGTTAAGCTAACTGAGACTTGTTCTAGCACTTGCTTATCATTGCTCTTTTGTTGATTTTGATTGCTTCTATTGTCCTCATTTGTAAGTCGCTTCGGATAAAAACATGCCTTCTTTCAGACTAGTGGAAAGAAAACATCCAAAATACATCTTCTTTTAGTATAATTCTAATAGTATAATTGCAAAAATAATATAGTTTTTATTAATATTTTGAATTAAATGATATGTTCTGTTATCATTTTAATACTAGTTAAAGTTTTAGTAATGTAGTTGTTTTTGGCCGTTTTTACCATTTTTTTCTATATAGTCTATATAGTTTTCATTAATTTTTATTTTAGTACATCAAGTTAAACTAAATGAAAATTAGAAATGTTGTCTTGGAAACTAGCTGAAATAAAAACAAGTTTCATTTTTTTATATTTTATTTTATTTCAGTCAATATTTATTTTATTTCAAATAAAAAATTTTTATGGTTTTAGTTTTAGTGAACTATAATAACCCTGGTTTGGACCACCATTCAGATGGGTAAATGATGAATTTTAATTTTTTCCTCTTTATTAAGTGTCCAGACTTTTAAGTGTTTATTTGATTGCACTTTGTCTATTCGCGCCTGTAGATTTCGATTACAACGCATATTTAAAAAGTTTTATCTCCACTTCATCAGCGCTTACATACACCAAAACTTACAGTTTTATTCCTCTCTATATTCTAAAGGTTTTTACTGAGGGGTTTGTTGATATATCATTCACTTCATTTTATACAACACTTTATTCCTAAAAACATAGCGAAAATTTATTTTTCCTGTCTGTTGACAGTATTTTGTGATTTATGGAGTGATAAAAACAGATATCCAAAATCCCCTCAGTAAAAACATTTAACATTAATATGTCAATAAAATCAAACAGGAAATCTGATCCTGGCTTTTTCCAATGTTCAGATTTATTCTCTGGAATGTTCGCAAATTAGTGCACATTTAATTAGATCAAGCCTCATTCGTGTGAATATAACATTTCAGAACCCTTTTAATACAAAACAATTGTCTTAATATTCTGTGATTAATCAACTGAGAAAGTATGTGATATCTATTAGTTTAAATATTCACCTCTAGTCTTGCCTCTCTCTTGCAACAAATCCTACTACTGCGACTGACCTCAATGCAAACAAGTTTTTACCATTCAGTGTGAACTAAAAATGTCATATTAAAGCTCACCAGCGCTCCACTGCTGAGGAGGATCATGAAGATGATGAAGGTCTCAAACCAGCTGTGCTCCACTATCTGATAACACGTCTTCCTCAGACGCCACCAGGCTCGACCAAGACCCTCGGACGTGTTGATATCACAGCACTTAAAGTGACGTACACAAACTGGAAAACAAAAACATTAAAGATTAATGATTAATAATTGGGTCAACGAAACAAAAATTGTTCCAAGATTATTAAAACATATATATATATATATATATATATATATATATATATGCACCAACCATACAAAGTAAAAATAAACACGTTGCACAAATATCATGAATTCTTTTACATCATTTTGTGGGAGTGACTACAGGGGACAATATTTCCTTTTGGT